ACTTCATACCTCCCTGCCTTTGTACATGCAGTTACCTCCATCTCCTGAATACTTCCTCCTCATTCCTCAAGGGCTACTGTGAATGTCACCTCCTTAGTGAAGCCTCTGCAAATCCCCTAATGCAGTGGTGCTCAACCTTTAGTGGTACCAGAATGCCCTGAAGGGCTTCTTGAAACACGGGTTGCTGGTCCCCACCCTCAGAGTCTCTGTTTCAGGAGGTCTGCTGGAGCCAAGAATCTGCATTTCCAACAAGTCCCAGGTGCTGCTGCTGCCCTGAGAGCACACCAGCCCAATGGAGTGGACGTGTACTGTGTGTGCCTCAGAGTCTTTGCTCCCTCACCCACCCTGCACGTGTCCTAGTACACATGCCCACGCAAGACTGGGAGCTGCTCAAGGACAGGGAACAAGGCAGCACTCGGTGCATGGCTACTAAACCAATGGATGGATGGATGGGTAGATGGATGGATGGACGGACGCACAGATGAATGGATTAGACTGAATTTATTCACATAGCTTTTCCATTCAGGTTTAGGACCTCATAAATGCTCACACCCACGCCAAGATACCTTAAAAACATCGTCTGTAACAGATTCCCATTGCACAGAGAAGGTAAAAAGAAATTCAGGGAGAGTTTTGACCTTGTAAGCCTGTGCCAAAGGAGTTTGGAGTTCTAATCTAGTGCTCTTTCTGCTACCTTGGCCCCTCCGGGGCTGTCTACCAAAATGGCATTAAAAGAGTCACAACAGAATGCTTCTGAGAGACACCTCTCAGAATCCTACCCGCCCAAGCACTCCCTCCCTTACACACACACACACACACACACACACACACACACACACACAGTGATTTCATTTATAGAAAGATGAAGGTAGTAAGAGAAATGGAGGAAGAAAGAAGAATCCAGCCTCCCACAGGGAGAGAAGGGCAGCAGCGCAGGCGAGGAAGACCCCATCAGAAAAGCACTCGCTCCCCAGGGGAGCGTTGGAGCTCCTAGCAGCCCTGGGGTGGCCGTAGCTGAGGGAGACAGGCCAGGGCACAAAGGAAAGGGGACAAGCCTACAGGAGGACGAGAAACGTGTGCTCAGGAGAAAATGAGAGACTAGGAGAGGAACAAAGGACAGAGAGCATCAGCTGGGAGGGGGCAGGAGGACGGGAGGAATGGCAGTCAATGCTGAGCTGGCAGCACAGGGCAGCGTGGCTGGGGGAAGGTCAATGCCAGCTCCACTCTGCCCTTTCAGCAGCAGCAGGCGCAGGGATGAGCAATGGGCTCTGCTGGAGACACAGTTGGGGGAGATGCAGCAAGGGACAGCAGGAGGACCAAAGTCAAAAGGCCTCTCTGCTGCAGGTGGTGCAAACGCCGCTGCCCAGGGCCCTGGAAATGCCTGCGTCTGTAGGGCTGTTTTTCCGAGAGGCCTGTGCTCACCAGCAGCTCGGGTCAGGCTACAGCTAAAGAGGGAAAAGTCAGCATTCCCACCACACTGGCGTCCAGCGGCCAGGCCGGTTCCTGAGGGACTGCAGATTAGCCTCGAGGATTAAGCTCCCCTGCCTCCCTCCCCCACTCCACAGCCCTGCCAAGGGAGGATCACAGAGCTGAGACCTTAGGATGCTGCAGAGCTGTCACATTCGATTCGCCACACGGCCCCAATGGCATTTAGGGGCAGGACGGATGGGAGCCCACCCCCACCACAAGCAGTGGGAGCAGCTAATGACTGGGTATTAAGGATGCCGGCAATTAGTGCTCCCGAGAAAATGGTTGGGGGCTGCTCACCAGGGGAATGCGGAGGAACCCGAGCACACATTCAGAGCAGCACGCTGACGGGTGGCCTGTGTGGTGCAGAGAATCTGGGGAAAATTGCTGTCTCTCAGATTCATCCAGGGAAATGGGGGAAGAGGAAAAGGACGGCTACTACAGACATTGAAGGCCTTTCTGCCCCACCCTCCCCAGTAGCCAAATTGAGGTTAATCACAAAGGGGGCACTGAGAGATGTCATGAAAAAGGTGTTTGTGAGGCTTCTGGAACCTTCCTTGTGAGAGGAGGCCCCAGAGGAGCCCAGGTAGAGTTATTCCTTTCTCTGCAGTTTCAGATCCTTGGGTAGTCAGATGATCCTTTTATATATATATTTATTGATTTCAGAGAGGAAGGGAGAGAAAGAGAGAGATAGAAACACCAATGATGAGGGAGAATCATTGATCAGCTGCCTCCTGCACGCCCCCTACTGGGGATTGAGCCTGCAACCCAGGCATGTGCCCTTGACCAGAATCGAACCTGCAACCCTTCAGTCTGCAAGCTGACGCTCTATCCACTGAGCCAAGCCGGCTAGGGCCAGATGGTCCTTTTGAAGAACCCAATTCCATCAGCAAGGAGGGAAGGAAGAGAAAGGTTCAGAGGGGCTGGAGCGAGTGTGCTCACTAACAAACCCACAGGGAGAGGAGAACAAGCATCAGGATGAGATCTGTTAGGAAGTGTCTCCGTCTGAAAGGAAGGAAGGAGGGAAGACACAGCTTCCTCGCCGAGCAAAGCTGTCTGGCCTCAAGGTGAGGACTTGAGGAAGCAGGAGACACTGACCCCGGAGAGTGTGTGAGGAAATCCTGGGGGACAGAGAAAACTATGCAAGGGCCCATCTCCGAAGTCAACAGCCTGCGGGAGGGGACCGCAGGAAGAGCTAAGGGCCTGCAGTGTACCTGAGGGGCCATCGGAGCCTTCCCCCACTGTGGCCATCACTGTGCACACACAAAAGAGACAGACAGAAGTATTCCAGACCCTTAGTGTGAGGAGAGCACCTACACACAGGAACAAATGCCTGGCCTTTGAGAGGAGATGTCAAGGAGATAAGCCAGTGCTGGAGGAGTGAGAAATAATGGCAACCTAATAAATACTTTAGAGAGAGCAACCGTGGCCAAGAAATGTTTTCCCGACAGCAACCCAATCAAAGTCACTCTCAGCCTCCTCCTGATAGAAGACCATAGCTACACCTTGGCCACTCAGATGAGAGAAGGGACAAGAGGAGAGACATGGAAATGCAAATATTTTCCTTTCTGAAAGGCAAGGCTGACTGGCCCAAGGAAACCTCACCCCAAAGGGAAGACAGACTTTGGCACTGCAGCTCCTCAGGCCCTCCTGCCTTGCTTTTCCAGCTCTGTCCATATGACAACACTAGGTAAGAAAACACAAAAGTCTGGAACCCTGAAAGTTAGTAAGAATGAAAGGTTTTAGGGGATGATCTCTGTCCCCCACAGTTCATATGTTGAAGCCAATACCTCAGGAAGTGATTATATTTGGAGGTAGGGCCAGTAAAGAGGTGATTCAAGAAGAAAAGCTCAGCCCTAAACGGTTTGGCTCAATGGATAGAGCGTCAACCTGCGGACTCAAGGGTCCCAGGTTCGATTCCAGTCAAGGGCATGTACCTTGGTTGCGGGCACATACCCAGTAGGGAGTGTGCAGGAGGCAGCTGATCGATGTTTCTCTCTCATCGATGTTTCTAACTCTCTATCCCTCTCCCTTCCTCTCTGTAAAAAAATCAATAAAATATATATTTTTTAAAAAGTTGCAAAGTTGCTGAGGCCTTAGCTAGTTTGGCTCAGTGGATAAAGCAAAAGAGGAGGAGGAGAAGGAGGAAGAGGAGAGGGAGGAGGAGGAGGAGGAGGAGGAGGAGGAGGAGAGCTCAAATGAAACTGTTAGGAGGGCCCTAATCCGATCTGACTGGTGTCTTTATAAGCACAGGAAATATGGACACACGGAGACAGCAGGTGCACATGCACAGAGAGACAGCCATGTGAGGAGGCAACAGGAAGGCAGCCATCCACAAGCCAAGGAGAGAGGCCCCAGGAAAACCCAACCCTGCCAGCACATTGATCTGGGACTTCAGCCTCCAGAACTGTAAGAAAATAAATCTGTGTCCTTTAAGCCACCCACTCTGTTGTACTTTGTTATGGCAGCCTGAGCGTAATGACACAGAAGGCAATGTGACAAGGGAAGGGTGGGGTGGTGGTTAGGTAAAAACCCACACGAATCGAAAGAAAGGTCTTGGCCAAGGATTGTGTTAATTATTTCAAATATTTGGTGAAGGCAGCCAATCAACATCAATTGACTGAAATGTAGAGGAATCACTCTCAAATCCTAAAGTCTGAATATTTTTAAAGGTCTGTCTGATCCCTTTAATTACACTGAATTATTCACTTTAAGACCGCCTGTCAGCCAATCTTATAAAAAAAAAAAAGAATAGAAAACACCTGGCATGTCCACAGTTATTGTTTACCTAATGATCTTAGAATGCCCACATCTTGAAGTAAGTCCTCAAGGTTCCATTATCTCATCCCATAAGGAATGCTGAAGAGGGAAGTCAAAAGGTGAATGCTAAGCCCTTTTTGACTTCCTAAATCATAACTGGGTGTTGAGGAAAGAAAGAATAAAAACGAAAAAACAAATCTTAGGAATCATTTGGGGTCTTTGAGCCCAACATCCCAAATATCAAGTGCACCCAGATCATGTTTGCTGATCATGGAGGCTCCAGGGCAGCATTTCTAAGGCAGGAGAGCCCTATGCCAAAATTGTAGACCCTATAACAGGCAAGGCAATAAATCAAGAATCTTCTTCATCTCTTGGTGGCCAAGGAGACATCTGGAGTATCTGTATGAACTGACATAGCCGAGGGATATGCTCGGGTCAGCAGCTGTGAAGGGATCATCTGGAGCTGAGGAAAAGAGGAGCAGCTCTGGCATCTGACAATGGCCAGGGAAGGACATTTCCCTTCTGCCTGAACACTCACCTTCCTTCCTTAGGCCGCAGAGCTTGCTGTGCCACCCCAGCCCAGTCACCCTCAGCCTCGGACTCAGCTGACCCCACAAGGGCAGCTGAAGCTGGGTTGAAAGAGCCAACCCACCACAGGAGATTGAGACCAACCAACGGTCATTACCAGAAGATATCACAGGTAATTAAAGGAATGCTCCACGGCCCTGCCCACCCACTTCATAACTGCCCCAACCCAAAAACTGGAAACTCACGTCTGTGGTTCTCATTTCTGTGGTTCGGTGGGGACCGGGTCTCCTGGTCTTGAGCTTCATCCCCCTCCTCGCTGGCCAGGTGAGTGTGAGCGTAGTGGTAGCTGAGTCCTGGTCGGTTCTTGTAGCGCTTGCCACAGACTAGAGAGGAAAGAGGAAAGAAAGGAAAAACACAAATGTCAGCAACCTCTATAGCCACTGCCATCATTCTCCCAGGTAGTGACTCCCATCCATCCATTCCTGAGCTGGGGTTCCTTTAGAAAGTTTTTGTCACCCCCAATTCCTTACTCCCTGGACAGGACCAAAACCACTATAACAACATGGGTCCATGTAAAGCAAAACCACGGAAGTAGAAGGTGAAAGTTGTGTGAGAGCTCCATCATTTCCTAGCTGTAAGGCCCTAGGCAAGTCACTTACCCTCTCTGTGCCTGCTTCTTCGGAGGAAAAATGGAATAATAGTACTTACCTCACAGGGTTGTTGGTGGTGAGATAATCTCTATGCAATTAGAACATGGTATTGTGATGACTATTTTAACTTTGAAGGTTGGACTGGGAGTTCAACACCAGTCCAACACCCCATGGCACAGATAGAGCAAGTGAGGCCCAGCAAGGCTAAGTGATTTGCCTGGGAACACAGCTAGTCGTGGCAGAGCCACTAGAAGCCAGGTCCCTTGGATTCCTGTGATTACTTCATCTACCTTCCTGTGGTTGACTATGCCTGAAGTAGAAAAGCTTGATCTGGATAACATTCTTGATGTATCACTCAGTGATTTCGAGTTCCACTCCCACCATGGAAACCATGAAGCCAAGGCATGTTTGGTAGATGTGGGGCAACCAAGAGCTTATGTCCTTGATGCCCTGGCAGCCTAATACCCCAAATCTCTAAAAACATGTCTTTGCAAGCACTACTTCTCAAATGGACATTCTGAGACAAGGGCAATAAGCAACATACATGTCCAAGAAGAAAGGGGGGCAGTTCTATTGGTTAAATGCTCAGTACCTGAGAAGTCTGGCTGAATAACTTAAGACCAGATCACCACCCCCAACCTCACCCAATGATATCTCAGTCCTTAGAGCAGTGGTTCTCAAGCTTCCTAAAGCCGTGACCCTTAATACAGTTCCTCATGTTGTGGTGACCCCCAACCATAAAATTATTTTCGTTGCTACTTCATAACTGTAATGTTGCTACTGTTATGAATCGTAATGTAAATATCTGATATGCAGGATGTATTTTCATTGTTACAAATTGAACATAATTAAAACATAGTGATGAATCACAAAAACAATATGTAATTATATATGTGTTTTCCGATGGTCTTAGGCGACCCCTGTGAAAGGGTCATTCGACCACCAAAGGGGTCGCGACCCACAGGTTGAGAACCGCTGCCTTAGAGGGATGACACTGCTGGTAGCAGAAGCCTCAAGGTTCTTCTAATAAAAATCCTATGCCAACCCTCGCATCAGGTCCCCACCTTTCCCCAGCAGAGCCAACCCCACCTGATCTGCGGAAAAATCTGAAGTTCTGAGCTTTAAGAAACCCTTCTCACATGACTCTGTTATAGTAGTGAGTGTGAATATTTCATAAGGTAAAAGAGTACAGACTTCATCGTTAGACCTGGGTTCAAATGCTAGTTCCAGGTGCCCAGTTGACCGGCTCTGTGACCTCCATCGTATAGAGAAGATCTGTTTCCAGCCATCTTACCCAATTCCTTTATTATTTCTCATAGGGTTTCTTTTCTTACTAAATTCCCTTTAGTTTTTTCAGGTATTATAACCATTAGCAAAAAAAAAAATAGATGTCATCTCTTCTTTCTCTTATGTGTACAAACTACTTATCTTCTTAGCTTAATTAGTTTGTAAGAATCACTAACCTGACACTTAAAAATAGCAAGATTTTCCTCTTTTAATGCCATTGGATTTAGTGTTTCACTTATTCGAATAAAATATGTGGCTAATTTTTAGTCTTTATCAAATTTAAGTAGTTTCTCTTATTCCTGCTTTAGAGCTTTATTACAGAATTCTATTGACTGCCCTTTCAGCACCTACTCATATATGACTCTGGTTTGTTGATAGTGAATTATGTTGATTTTCTAATGTTTCCTACTACTGAAGCATTCTTGGTTCAAGAATGCACTCTACTTGGTCAGAGTGTATCATCCATTTGACACACTGCAGCACTCTATTCACTAATATTGCATTTTGCACCTACGGTTATGTTGACTTGCAGAGTTTTGCTGAGAGAAATTAGACAAGACATATAATCTCTCTGTGCCTCCTTTCTGATCTGAAAATGATGACAGTATACTTACCATGAAGGATGGTTAAAGGAATTATAAGTCATATTTGTAAACTATCTCGCTTAGTACCCAGATCCCAATAGATGGCAGTGAGGGGTGAGAGGCGTCGGCTTGGTCTGCCATGCCCTTAGTACCAAACGCTCCTGAAAGGGGGACTTGGACCCTTGCCTCACACTACAGAATGTGGCAATTGGTTTGACTTTCTTAGTAAGGTGAGAGTCTGAGATTCAAGCTGGTGACCTAGTGACTATACATCTAAGTCTTACAATTGGCTACTTACATTATCTCCCTCTCCCTGCTGTAAATATTGCAGAAAAAAAAATTTAAATGGTACTACACATCTCAATTCCATTTGCCTCAGGAAGTGGTACCTAAAGAGGTCCCTGGGGCATACTCTGGGCTTGCTTGTGGCTTTTTCTAGTTAACCTTTTAAATGTCATGAGGTCAATGAACAGCAAATTACGGGATCATTAGATATAAATCCATTTCATCACCAAGTATACTGTTGGTAAGGAATAAATGTTGATTAAAATAAGAACGATAACATCAGTATTTACATGGGGAAACCTCGGCTGCCTGCAGATATCCCACTATAAACCCCTCAGCATTTAATTTCTGCCATTTTGTTATGTCAATTACCATTGTCTTCCTTAATCACAGAATTTCAGGATCTCAATACCATTTGGTCTAATTATCTATCAAATCGTTTTATTCCCATGAATACTCTAGAAGGCTGCCCTGGGCCAAGTCCAATGATGGAGATTCTCTACCCATCCAAGTAGGCATTTCTTCTTTGGACTCCTTGAATTAATTGTATCTGTACTAAAGGGCCTCTCTTTAAGGACAGTTTTACATCGATTTCATCTTGATATCAGTAACTCCACCTCATATGTAGCCATGCACGCATTAAACCTTCAAAACATATTCACTGAATAGTTGCTGAATGAACACAGAAACACTTTGTGGAAGAGCCTGGAGTGGGGAGGAGGTAAGTGTGTAGAATCTGGTGTAACTATCCATATTAATCTCATACCAATAGTCCTTGGAACCTGCAAAACCAAAATGAAGCAAAAAGATTCCCATATCTGCTTCCCCAACACCACAGAGAGTAACTACTTTTAGAGCAAAGCCTTTTGCTAGAAGAGAGATTCTCAGAGTGGTCCCCAGCCCAGCACCATCAGCATCACCTGGGAACTTGTAAGAAATACAAATTCTCGGGCTCCATCCCAGACTTACTGACAAAGTCTTGGGGTGGAGCCTGGTGATCTGTGTTTTAACAGGCCCTCCAGGTGATGCATGCTAACATTTGAAAAACACTCTGCTAGAAGGTTGGTATATTTAGGCTTGACTCTGCCTGCTCTACATGCACCTGCCCTTTTGAATGGATGGCAGTGGCAGGCGAGGACAGTGAGAGGCTGCCCTGAGACCTGTGGTCACTATTAGAAGAAAAGATCCAGGCAGCACAACAAGGTCCTGGAAGCCAGACCCCTTTCCCATGGTTCCTATATATAGGCTCTCCAGATGGAGTTTCATTTTCCCCTCACCTGCTTCTACCATCTCATTAAAAAAAAAAAAAGACACTATTAACCATCTAACATGGGGGGCCAGGCATGTGGCACCAGAAATAAATAGTTAAATGAGCCCCACTCCCCTCCTTCAAGGGGCTCAAAGTCTAGCAGAGGAAGCCTACAAGCCAAGGAAGAAGGAAGGTGGGATAAATGCACCAGAGGGAAACATGCACCCTGCAGAGGGGCCAGCACCTGGGCCTGAGGGGGTGGGGTGGCTTCCCGGAGGAGGTGGGGTGAGCTGCGGCTTGAGAGATGAGCAGGATATCACCAGGCAGACAAAGCACAGCACCTGTTTTCAACTTGATTACCTTTTCTAGTCAAATCTCTCAGATTGCTTTCATCCGTTCATAGTATATAATCAAATGCGGCAAAGTCTTTAGTAACCTGGGGGGCACTGTGATTCATGGGAACACCATCTTCATCACCCAATCCCGCCCTCGATGATCAGGAGGTTCCTGTTTCATCTGTGGATGTCTCTGCACTGTCTATCCTCCAATTTTCTGAAATGTTTTGATCAATTACAAGTCTTCTGAAAACTGCTCCTGCGACTGGTGACCAACAGATGTTACCCAGACATGCAAACAGCACAGACTTGGGCACCTGCTCGGCCATCTTCCCTCGCAAACACCGAGGACCTGCTGACCAAGTCAGAACTTTTCATCTGCACTGAGGGTCCCTATTTTAATTTTCTACATGTGAAACAATGAGGACTTCGGATGAGAAAGGGTTTAAAGAGAGAGAATCTGGTAGAAAGCAGTTTAAACAGCAAGGAGATGCCTAGAAAGACTAACACAGTCTTCCTGGCCATGTGCTATCCAGCCCCATCTGCCTCCCCAGCCCCATCAGCTTCCCCAGACCCATCAGCTTCCCCAGCCCCACCCGCCTCCTCAGCCCCATCCGCCTCCTCAGCCCCATCCGCCTCCCCAGCCCCATCCGCCTCCCCAGCCTCTTCCCATCTCCCTGCCTCATCTGAGGCCACATTTCACCTCCTTCTCAGCCCTCGCCTCCCACTCACTGGCCTTTCCATTTCTTGAATATTTGTCTTTCCACCAAAGAGCATTGGCACAAGCTTTTCCCTCTGCCTAAACTGTCTCCCACCCCAAGTTGCCTGGTTAATGCCTCCTTGTCCTTCCGATCTTGGTTCAAATGTCCTTCCCCTGGGAAGTCTTTCCAATCAAAATTAGGATCCCGGTTTGTTACCTTCCCAGAACCAATCATGTGCCAGTATGTGCCCCTCCCACCGGCAGGAAGCATGGCAGCTCGTGTGTTTGCACAG